ATTTCATACACCTTTTTACATTAAAAAACAAATTATTGTTGATTAGATCCCAGCTCAATCAACTAGAAGATCACATTCTAATTTAAAAAATGGGCACAATTTTAAAAAAAAATTGTAATAATTAAAAATGATAAATAAAAAATATAATTATATTTTAATAAAAAGTAAATTTAATTATAATTATTTTAACTTTTGCTCAATTTTATTTTTTTATGTCTTGGATTTTTATCATATAACTTTTCTGATTTATTGGGATTTAATTATAATATTTTTTATAAGTATTGATATTAATAAATAAAAATTGAACCTTTTAAAATTTAGAACCTTTCAAATTTTAAAACTCTGTGCCGTAAAACTTGTTACTTTTATATCTAACAAGGTGACATTTTAAGAATTTCATAAAATAAAATAAAAACATATATAATATATTAAACGAATCCTAATTTAAAAGCCACAAATTTTTATTTTTAGTCCCTTTAATAAAATTATTATTAAAATTTAAATGTAAGACTTAAAATCAAATTATCACTCGGCTAGTAAACATTTTGTGTCATAGTTCACTTTGTCTTTATTTACAAAGATCTCAACATATTATGTCGTAAATGAATTATCATGAAACTACTGTATTTGAAGGTAGGGCTGGCAATGAACCAAACCAACTCGAAGATAGTTCGGAATTCGACTCGACAATTAAATCGTTGAACTAGGTTCATGAACCAAATGAGTTGAGTATGAGCGAAAAATTAAGTTCGTTAACTAAATGAGCTGAACTTGAACTATACATAGTTCGACTCGTTAGGTTCATGAGTCAACTCGATTACATATGAAAAGAATTATACTGTCTTTAAGATTAGGTTTAAATATTTACTTCAAATCTTAGACAAATTTAATCTTCAATTTAGTAGTTTTTGAATTAGACTCTCAAATGTATCTCTTGAAAGTTGTGTAGGTTTTGAATTAGTAGATTTCGAAGATAAAGTTTAATTTCAATATGATAACTTTTATTTTATTTTAATATTTTATTTAAAATATATTTATTTATTTAAAATGTCAAATATACTAAAAAATATATATATTTAAAAAAATAGTTTTTAAGTTCGTGAACCATGTGAGCTGAACCTAATGAGATGAACCTAACGAGTCGAACCGAACTGTTCGTGAACTTATAACGAGTCGAGTTTGAGCTTAAAAAAAAGTTCGTGTCAAACTCGAACTCGAACTCGAATTCGAACAATTCTTAACGAGTCGAGCCGAGCTGAGGTGAGTTCGACTCGACTCGACTCATTTCCAGCCCTATTTGAAGGGAAAAAAAAACGATAATTAAGATATCGAACCAAAGCCTATTAAAAGTTAGTATAACAAAAAACACAATATTTTACAAAGCGAAAGGTTTTCTGTTTTATTATAATAATCACTTTGTTTGGAGAAAAGTGAAATAGTTGTAAATAAAATGGCGGCAAGGGTTTATAAGATGAATTGTTACCATCTATTCAATTTTTGGCTTGGTTTGTACACTTTATAGGAAGAAGAAACTTCTTATGATCAAATGGTCTTTCACTGCCAACCATTACTGAAAACCTTTCTTCACCAATTTTTTTTGGTTGGCTAACTTACATGTCCCCCACCATCTCCACTATTTTCCTCATGACTAATGAGTGCTCTATGACTCATAAGTGCTCTCGTTGAAAATATAAGTACATTTACAAGATGCAATACTTTAATAGGTTTAATTACATATGGGTTGTATGTTAGAGATTATCTCATTGAATTTTGAACAATCACACAAAATAAATTGGACATTTTTTTTATAACCTTGCCAACTAAGCTAATATATATGAAACTAGAAATTAAGCTTTTTTTTTTTACATCAGGTTTACCAAAGATTCTCAATTAGATTTTCACTTTGAATTTGCACCAATAGACAATTTAAGATATCAAAATAAAAGAGACAGAATTTTGTAGTGCAAAAATCTCCAGCGAGCCGAAGAAAAGAGAGATCCACGTTTATACCAATCAAATTACTTTTATGAAAATTAACCCCAAGATTAAAGTATCATCCGCATACTGAAGATGGGAGAGCTCCAAATTAGATGAACCAACTTTAAAACAAAAAAAGAAAGACATATCTCGGAGGCCCCCCTGAATCAGCCCATCTTCTTCCACCAAGAGGAAGAGAAAAAGGGAGAGAGGGTCTTCCTGCTTCAACCCTCTTTAGATCTTGATTTCAGGAATTGAGGATCTATTAACTAGCACAGATAAATTATCAAAGAAGACACAATTTTTGATCCAGGCTATCCACTTATCATCATTAAAGTCAAATCTAATGAGCATATAATCCAGGAACCTCCAGCTAACTGAGTTATAAGTTTTCTCAAAATAAAATTTAGAGACGAGACAATCTTTATTGGTCTGTTTAGCCAAGTCAATCACCTTGTTAACCACCACTACTCCATCAGCCAACATTCTTTCTTTTAAGAATGTTGTCTAGTAAGAGCTAATCAACTTATCCATCACCCCTCCTAACATATTAGCCAGAACTTTAGCCACCATCTTATATAGGTATCCGATCAATGAGATAGACCAAAAATCTCCTATGGTATAAGGACTCATAACCATAGGAATAAGAGAAACATAAAAAGAAGAAAAATTACAAGAAAGAGATGCAAATCAGAGAAACTCATTAAACATAATCCTCGTCTCTTCCCTCAAGATATTCCAAAACCTTTTAAAGAAGAAATAACTAAAACCATCAGGCCATGGACATCTATTTCCATCACACTGAACCACCACCTCATCTTACTCCTCAAGACGAAAAGGAGAGGTCAAGACCAAGTTATCCTTCTCAGAGATAGACCTGAAAGCCCCCTATCTAGTCTAGGTCGAGCAACATTCTATTCTTTAAACCTCCCAGATAAGTAAGAGAAAACCTCACATATAATCTTAACCTCTTCTTCAATTCAATCCCTACCTATCCTCTTCTTCAATTTAATCCCAACCTATCTTCAGGGCTAAAATCAAATTATTTATGTTCCTGCATTTGATAGAAGCATGGAAGAATCCTGGGTTATCATCCCCTTCCTTAAACCATATAACCTTAACTCTTTGAGACAACTGAGAATCTTTCACCCTAAACAAAGACCATATATCAGCAATTGCTTTAGATCTAGTCTCCACCTCCTTAACAATTAAATTATTTTGATCAGCCAACAATTCCGGATTATCCATAACACCTCTAAGAGACTCAATCTGAGCATCCACATTCCAACCTTTAAGAGTGTCTTTAAAGGATCGAAGCTTACCCATAACAACATACACTTTCCAACCCTCACTGGAAAAAGTCAACCAGAAACTAAGAACCAATTCAGGAAACACAAGATGAGCAAACCAATAATTATTAAACCAAAAATATTTTGAACCTCTTAATTGATTATCATACTTTAAAAATATATGACAATAATCACACACATCTTTAGAGAGAACTCATTAAACAACAATCCCACCACCCCTTAAAAATCAAGATGTGATCAAGTCTACTAACCATATTTATGAGAATAACTTTTTCAATAATCACAATTTTCACTAAATTTATCTCTAATTTTAGTCGTACATTAACTCTTTCTATTTTTCTCTTATTTTGAAAATCTTTATTTTTTTTTTTACCTGAACAAAAAATTTTTTTAAATTAAAAAATAATTATTAATTACAATAACATTAACTATCCTATAAACAAAAGATTAATAAAATAAAAAGTAGTTTGGAAAGTGTGCCTAATGGTTTGAATTGTCACAAAAAAATTCTTCGTGCCATTTTATAAGTAATTTTTTTTAATACCTTAAGGTCATGGTCAAGTATTTTGACTGAAAAATATCTTAGCAACCTTTGTTTTTTTCTGTCTTATATTACTATCATAAGTATTTGTAACTAAAATAAACTATATCTAATTCTAGAAATTGAATACAACAATAGGACGATATGTCTCAAAAGCCATGAAAATTTTTACACCCAAAACAAACAATACATCATTAATATCACTGCAACGACGAAAACTTGAGGTTGAATGAAATATTGGCAGTATTAGAAGAAGGATTAATATCATTAATTTTTCTAACAACCAATCAAACGAGTAATTAATTACCAAAATTCCAATGACAAACTTTAAGTTTAGAGTTTGTTCATGAATTTGTTGTGGTGTATATGTCATCTCTTTGACTTTAAATAAGTGGATTACTGTGTATCAAATCCATTGATTAATTGGTACATATGTTAGATGAGAATCGTTGTACTTTACACAAAATAGTTAGACCAAACCCAATATCTCATGATGTGGTCACCAAGTCCAACAGAAAGACAAAAAAAATGTGACATTAAAAAAGGTATATTCAAATATCTTAGCTTCAAAAAGTGTCTTGGTTGATAGAGATAACTACTTTATGTGACCCACAAGAAAAATCATAGAACTTTCTGTCTTTTGGTTTTCTGGTGTAGACTGTTATTTTTAATTTTATTGACATTACTAGAAATTTTAAATTACTATAGAAAATTTAAAAGGACAAAAAATATGAAACTCCTCAAATGAAATGAAATTAGAGAAATATTTTAAATTTTTTTAGTTGCTAATATTACAGCTTTCATCAAAATTTGGAGGTTGAACCTGTTTGGATCAAAGAAATGTTACAATTAAAAAGGCTTAAAATAGATTTTTATCCCTTAACTTGATTTAATGTTTCGTTTTAATCTCTTAACTAAAAAATATTATAAATTAGTCATTTAACTCCATTTATGTTATTATATTTTATCATGAATACTATTTAAAATCACGTTTATTTTAAGTTGTTTTTTCCAACCAACTTGTTAAAAGGACTTAACAACAAAGAGCACCATGCTATATAAGATTGTTCCATCCTACTCAATTTGCATAGTTAGTTCCACCAATTTGCTAGCTAGCTTCTCTGCATATTTGTGTGCAAGCAAACAAGCAAAGACAATTCAAAGAACTGATCATGGCGATGATGCAGTTTACTATCGTATTCCTCCTAGCTCTTTCTTGTATGCTTCCTCCATCAGTCGAAGCCATGGTTCGCCACTACAAATTCAACGTATGTGCATTAACTACATTTCCAGCATTATTAATAAGTTTATTAACTCGATCAAGTTAGAATGCATGCATACAAGAATTTTAAGGAATTTTTTGTTTCGGTTTCTGAATGAATGAGTAATGTTAATGTTAATTTAGGTGGTGATGAAGAATGCCACGAGAATGTGTTCAACCAAACCTATTGTAACTGTAAATGGGAAATTTCCCGGCCCCACAATCTACGCTAGAGAAGACGACACTGTTCTTGTAAAGGTAGTTAATCATGTCAAATACAATGTTAGCATCCATTGGTGAGTTTGTTACAGTTCATAATTATGTAAATTTTGATAAATTGAAGTTTTATATATATGCACTAATTTTTTTAATAATGATGAATTAATATTGAATAGGCATGGAATCAGACAGTTGAGAACGGGTTGGGCTGATGGACCGGCTTACATAACCCAATGCCCGATTCAACCGGGCCAAGTGTATATGTACAATTTTACCCTCACAGGACAAAGAGGAACACTTTGGTGGCATGCACATATTCTCTGGCTTAGAGCCACTGTACATGGTGCTATTGTAATTTTACCTAAGCTTGGAGTACCTTACCCTTTTCCTAGACCTCACATGGAACAAGTTATAATATTGAGTCAGTTCTTCTTTTTCTTTGTCACTAAACAATTTTTTTGAAATGGTTTAAGCATTTATTTTTAATTTTTTTTTATTTGGTTTAGGTGAATGGTGGAAATCAGATACTGAGGCTATAATAAACGAAGCTTTGAAATCTGGATTGGCTCCTAATGTCTCTGATGCTCACACAATCAATGGTCATCCAGGACCTGTTCAACATTGTGCTTCACAAGGTAAAATCTATGAAATTGGTGTCGCGGTTACGCGGTTGTAATGATAAAGTGGTATTGCTGTCACGATTTACTGAGATTTAGTCCTTATCATTTAGTAAAAGAAATACAAAAACTAAAATATTAATGAGATGTTATTAATTCATATCAACATTTTTCAATTATGCAGAAGGATTCAAACTCGGAGTTGAACCCGGACAAACCTATTTACTAAGAATAGTAAATGCAGCACTAAATGAAGATCTATTCTTCAAAATTGCTGGACACAAACTAACAGTTGTTGAGGTTGATGCTGCATACACAAAACCATTCAAAACAGACACAATAGTAATAACACCAGGACAAACAACAAATGTACTTCTCAAAACAAACCATGTCTCAGGCAAATACATGGTAGCAGCTTCAACTTTCATGGATGCACCAATTACCATCGACAACGTAACCGCCACAGCCACATTAAATTACCCAAACACCCTCGGTTCAACCATCACAAAACTCACTTCACTCCCTCAAAGAAACTCAACAACAATAGCTGAAAACTTCCTTGACTCACTAAAAAGCCTGAACTCCCCAAAATACCCTGCTAGAGTCCCTACAAAAATCGATCATTCATTGTTTTTCACTGTTAGTCTTGGTGTTAACCCTTGTGCTACATGTGTCAATGGTAGTAGAGTTGTTGCAGCTATAAACAATGTTACATTTGTTATGCCGAAAATTTCTCTTCTTCAAGCTCATTTTTTTAACATGAGTGGTGTTTTTAGTGATGATTTTCCTGAGAAACCGGAAATCGTGTATGATTTTACTGGGAAAAAACAGCCAACGAATCTTAGTACTAATAAAGGGACTCGGGTTTATAGACTTGCTTATAACTCAACTGTTGAGTTGGTTTTGCAAGATACTGGAATGATAACTCCTGAGAATCATCCTATTCATCTGCATGGATTCAATTTCTTTGTTGTTGGTAGAGGACAAGGGAATTTTAAGGCTAAAAAGGATGCTAAAAAGTTTAATTTGGTTGATCCTGTTGAGAGAAATACAGTTGGTGTTCCGGCTGGTGGATGGACTGCTATCAGATTCAGGGCTGATAATCCAGGTAAAATTATAGATGTTTCATATTTGAATTCTCATATCTATAATCAAATGTTTCTATATAGATAACACTTAACAGCCCAAAATTTATAAAAAGAGTAAATAATTGAACTTGGTGATTTGTATTAAAGATTGAAGTATTTTCCATATGACAATTTTTAGCTTATAAGATATATTGATACATGGTGTTGATTGTGTTAGGTGTATGGTTTATGCATTGCCATTTAGAAATTCACACAACATGGGGATTGAAGATGGCATTTGTTGTTGACAATGGTAAAGGACCAAATGAATCTTTACTACCACCTCCAAGTGACTTTCCCAAGTGTTGAAAAGATTAACACAAATTTACAATCTTTTCTTAATGAGAAAGAGGGGAAACATACATACAAGGAAAAATCTATACAAATATTCCAAAGGAATAAAAAATCTAAGCTAATTATAGCAAAGATTTTCATGGAGAATAAGACCAACTAACATGTCCTCTGTTTTTCTTTTTCTTTTCATTTGATGTATTGTGTGTATATCAATTTTTTCTCTCTTGAAGAATAATTTTGGTTTCATGCAATTAGACAATAGTGCTAAACAAAATATAAATGATTATGCAAAGCAAATGTGATTTGATTTTCATTTAAACTCTAATACTTAGGGGGTGTTCATGGATGGTTAATGTTCAAAACCAATCCATAACCATAAATAATTCATATGTTACAACCGGTTATTAAAATCAATTCTCATAACTGGTTTTTATTTTTTAAAATGGTTATAAACCGGTTATATCTATACCAATTTTATAATTAATTTTGATTTAATTTTATTTTAAAATTGATTTTTTCAAAATCATAATATTTTTTTTATAAAAAATATTGATGTTAAAAAAAAAACAATAATTATTTTAAATTTTTAAAAAAAAATCATTTTTATTTACTGAAAAAAAATTAAAACAAGTTCTTTTATATTAAAATTAAAAAAAAATCATTTTTATTTACTAAAAAAATTAATTTAAAATAAGTTCTTTTATATTAAAAATTTAAAACTTGTACCAATTTACATGACTTAACGTTTTTATTAATCATACTAAAGAATAGTTGTTGAGAGAATCGAAACACTTTTATTAATTATTCCTTCTGGTTTGTTTTTAAGTGTATTTTTTATAATTTTTTATTTTTTTAACTGTCAGTTCAAGATAATATTAAATGCTATTAAAATTGTTTTTATATAATTATTAAAAAAGAGAAAAATTAAAATAAATCTAATAATAAATTAATATACGTAAGAAATTATACAGTGACATTTGAAAAGAAATTGAGGGAGTATAAAAAACAGAGTATTTTTAAATAAAAATATATTTGAGGCAAATAATAGTTAATACTGAGTTCATTTGTACTTTGAATATAACAATTAGCTTAATATAATGTATTAAAAAATTAGAGTGTGTTGTGAATTAGTGGCACATAAGATTAAATAGAGAATGATTTTGATATGTTTTATAATATTAAGGATATTATAATCGAGTTGAATAAGGTTTAACATAATCTGAATAAAGAAATAAGAAAAACATAAAAAATGTATATGGATATTTTGCATGAAAAATTAATTTTAAATTTTAAATAAAATTGGTACAAGTTCTTTTATATTGAAAAAATCATTTTTATTTATTGAAAAAAATTAAGTCATCTTGGAAAAAAAATTTATTTACTGAAAAAAATTAAAACAATATCTTTTTCAAAAAAAAGATTAATTTTTTTTCAAAATAAAAATATTTTTTTTTTGAAATTTTTTTTTAAATTTTTGTTTAATTAAAAAAATTGACTAATTTGATTTTTATTTTGGATATGGATGTCCAAATTATGGATTTGGTTAAAACTATATTAAAAGTATATTCAAAATATGGATTTGGTTAAAACCATACTAATAATTAACCGGTTTTTAATAATCGGATTTGGATATGAAATATGTATTATTTAAATAACCGATTTATTTGAACACCCCTACTAATATTTTATAATTTGGAAAAAAAATTCTCAATAAATCCAACAATAGTGTGAATAGTTAACAGTATGTGTAGTGGATAATAAAAAAAGCCGAGATTTCGATCCATACTACTAACATCAATAATGATTGGTATTATTGCAATTTGCATGAGATAAATAAATTAGAAAGGATAATTCCTTACAACATGTTTTTGATAATTTCTTGAAAGAAAAACATTTACATTTATATAGGTTAAAGTTTCATTTAAGCAAGCGAAAGAAACACAATATATTCATCCAAAATTTTAAAGTGATATTGTATAGGCCCTCTTATTTAAAAAGTGTTTAACCTCCACTTTTTAAAACAATATGAGACTTAAAACTCACACTTGTTTCTCACCACAACTCACTTGTTTCTCAACAATCTCTCCCTCGAGTGTGAGTCCATTTATTATACTCCCCTTCAAGTGAAAACTTTTTCATCCACATGTTTGCATCGTCGTTTCCAAACACCCTTACTCGTCATGAGCACTACAACGGGACACACTGCCTAACCACCAGCATATCAAGAAGACTTTCGATACAAGGAGTCGGTCCCTTACTCGAACTAAGCTCTAATATCACTAAGGGGACATCATGAGGGGGAAGCATTCACATTGGATTAAAGACTCACCTAAAGGTCAAAGACTCACCCAAACAAGTGAGAGAAACACCACATATTCATTCAAAATCTTAAACTGATAGGTGTATGGGTCATCTTACTTATAAAATGTTTGATCTCCACTTTTTTTAAATAATGTGATACTCTAAACTCACATTTATTTCTCAACACAAATCACACTTGTTTCCTAACAATTCCAATATATCATTAAATCTTCAATTTAATAAACTAATTATTTAATCTCCAACATACAAATTTAATGAATCTGAGTAGACCCAACATTTAGCTTTTGCAGTTAGAAATATTTTTCAATTATATTTTACTTTAAAGAAATTGAAAGGTAAATAGTCTTCAGAAAAATAACTATACAATAAGATATATATTTAATTTGGTAAAAGAATATAAAGTAAAAATAATAAATATAATAATTTATTTATCCAGTTTGATAAAACGGCCTACCTTAATGTCAAAAGCAGCTCTCCGACTTATTATAATTTTAAAAATTATTACAAAAGATTACAAATAAATAATAAAAAAAAATTGTCACTTAAGTTTCCAAAAACAAACTCTATATTTTATCTAGGTGTTTCTCAATCTCTTCAAATATCTATATATGAATCACACAAACACAAAATATTTACAAGTGTTTTTCAATCACCCTTAGATATCTCTAAAGGATTCTCAAATTTCAAGAATACACTATTAGGAATTTACCATTGCCTCTGAAGATTACCATTAAGATTCTCAAACTCTTCTCTCTATCTTCAAATCTAAAAAAAAGAATGCAAGAGATACATATATAAGGGAGATAAATATCGAAGAATTGGTCATATATAATGGTCCAAGTTTAGCCCACACTGAAGTCAAAGTCATTGTGGATCTATATGCTTGCAAGTGATAAAGATCGACATTTGGAGTTTTGATGATGACAACGCATAACAACATTGATGATAACCAAAATATCTTATAAGAAAACTCAAGATCAAGTGCTTATACAATAAAATACTATCTAGCAAAGTCTTAAAGCTACTTTGATGAAAGGTGTGGAAGCTCGTCAAGTCATGTCTGTCACTCTGCCTAAGTGAACCAAGTATTGTAAAATTAAGGTAGTAGTTTAAGAGTATTAAGGTAACTCACATATACACTTTAAAATATTTCTCTGCCTTAAAAATGATTGTCTAAATCATGACCAAGTGGTTAAAAAGCTATCCAAACATTTTCTTAATCATCTAATCGATTGACAAAACTTTTTCACCTAATCAATCGATTAGAAACATGATAATTGATTATACAATCAACAAAGATAGCACATTAATGACTTTCAAAGTCTCTATATCCAAACTTTTCTAATTGGGCTTTATAATCGATTATATTTGAGTTTTTTTAATCGATTAGAGCATTTTTCTAATCGATTAGATAATAAAATTACTCCATGGATCATTTAGTTTCTTAGCGTTTCGAACTACTATATAAGGGAGGGTCTCCCTCACTTCAAACTATGTCACTTTCCAGCATTTTCATATTTCTTTGGAATTTATCTCTTTCTCTCTGTTGCACCCCAAAATTTTCCCTCTTATTTCTAACCATAACTGGCTTGTGTTTCACGTTCAAGTGCATTTTCCATTAGGGCATATCCTTGCATTCATTCATTTGCATTGAGCTCCTAAAGACGTGGATCAAAGAACTTTCCTGTGATTTGAGTTTTCCCTATTCATAGGTGATTTATCTGGCTATTACACTCGAGTAGAGACGAAGATTTAGTTCCCAACATCATGATTATTTTCTTTACCAAGGCTCATCAGATATCAAGGTCATCTTCTTCATGATTTTTCAAGAGGATCAGTGTGCACTCAAGGGCAGGAACTTTGGTTTCAAGTCAAGTGTGGTTATTCAGTCATGATTAAGATTAGATGGAAGTTTGACCTAATCTTGGTCAAATCATCAAGAGTTCCCTTCAACTGTTATCAAGCAGTGATTTATGAGAAGCTTGGGTTAAAATCAAGTTCATCATGGTCCATCAGTCTAAATTGTGTTCATCTGTAGATTTATTTTCCCGAAGATCGATTCAGACAATTCCAAAGTGTCAGGACTTATTTCATATTAATCAGAAATTCAGAGAAATCATGGAAAGGTTCAAGATTGATTCAAACGGCAGTTGTTTCAGTGTAAAAGGTTCCACTTTGGTTTTTGGATTAAATTCAGTCAAGGTGTGCATCAGTGGAAAATATTGGCGGATGGTTCATTCAAGTTCATCAACCAATATCCACCTTTCACATCCAAACCAAAACCAATATCCATATATCCATTACCAATTTTACATTCTTCATTATCTATTTTCTACATTTCAAAATCATTATCCTTTTTTTTTTTCATAACCATGTTCTTATTAAAACCATTTTCCCGTATTCAAATCCATATCAAATATTTATTTCATAATCTATTTCCTAACCATATCCATAAACCAAGTTCAAAATCTATTTTTCTAACCATTTATCCAAACTCACATCAATATCCACTTTATTAAAACAAGTTCCAAACATGTCAAGACAAGCTTTAATTCTTTCAAAAAAAAGTTCCAAACATGCCCTAGACAAATTTAAATTCTTTTCAAATAAGTTTCAAACATGTCCCAGGCAGATTAATTCATTCCAAATAAGTTCCAAAATGTCTCATACAGATTTGAATTCTTTCCAAATAA